ATCAGCCTTTAACATTAAATTAAGTCATTCTTATATAAAATTATGGGTACAGAGAATGGAAGGTCCATAGTTTAAAAGTGATTGCATTTTTGGGAGGCAGTGCTCATAGGAGCATGAAGTAAAAACAGAAAGCTCAAAAACTACCACTTAGGTAGTTAATATAAATAAACGGTTTATGAGCCTTGGAATAAGAGCTATTTGCACAAAGGACGCAGTGTTTACAAAATGCCAGTTCATCCAAGATACAAAAAACTAGTCAAGTACAATCTTATCGAGAATAATGACCTCCTGGCTTATAGATTAATCTACATATTCTAGGTCGCTTACGCAATCCGAATACACGTAAATTTATTGCTAAAAATCTGATAGAAAATGCTTACTAGAAGCGCTACAGGCTGTCACGAAGGTCAAACTGAAAAATTGCGGTTTTCCAAATTTCTATCCGTCACGTAGCTAGGGTTTCAATTCTCAAGGTGAACTAGTTGCTGAATTCCTATACTGACGGTAAAGAGTCAGTTCTTGAGACGGATCAGAATCTTAACTTTCTTTGAACTACCTCAACCATGAAGTTTACTTGGTTTCCGTAGATCAGATTGGACCTTTACGCGTAGTAGTACTTTGACCTTTAGTGATTTGGTTCACCTGACTGCATAATGTGCTGCGTAGACATAACAAGTGACCTCGTTCTTACTAGTTCCATAAGACAAATAATAAGGTACTTTTTCGCACCGCATTGACAATTACTGACAGATAGTCAAATGGAGTCCTAATTCATCCAGAAATAACCACACTCACCTTTGTTTTTCTGTCGGCCTGCAATCGAGAAGTAGATTGATCTCCGTTTGACCAGGTAAACCAAAGCAAGCGCGGCACACAAAAGAACAGCAAAGATCACGGCCAGGCAGATGATAACAGCCTCACTGGCACTGACCGCACTTCGTCTGGAGTCATAGTGCCTATCGTCCACAAGAAAATCCCCAACCTTTCCGTTTGATAGGCCTCTGTTGTGTAGTCGCCAGTCTTTCATATATTCATTCTGCTTTAGAGGGGAGTTTAGCTGTCCCCAGCGCTCCATGTAGGGCGGCCACTGGCCTACCGTTCTACTGGGATAATTTGAACGGTCTCGGCCTGACAACGGCTGCATGTTAGAATCCACATAGGGGTTTGAACCTGACTGTGTGTAGGACTGACCGGAGTCCTGTGGGTCGGACCAAACCTTCTGGAAACCCAGGCCACCCATAGCAGGGGATGGGTAATCCATCACCATGCGCAGCCAAGCTGGAGTGGCACAGCGTTTGGGCGTGCCCATATCACAGGCCTCTAAACGCAGGAGGTAACTGAATTCGGCTTCCGTGTTGATAACTGACGACTTCACAGGAAGGGGTGGTCTCCTTAGGAGACCCGGTGACTTTAGAAAGAGGGAACCACTACAGGCATCCAAGTAGAAAATGTCATCCACGTTTCCGGAGGCGATCGAATAGCGGATCTCTCCATTTGGTCCAGCGTCCGGGTCATGAGCCTCAACTCGAATGAGCGGACGCCCATTTGAATCACCTAAAACGTTATGAAGTCATTTCAATTGTAGATATTTCATTGTCCATTCTAAAAATGTACAAAATTCCGTTCTGTACTCACATCGCGGAACGATCACGAATATGCACTGTCAGAAGATTCATGATCATTAAGGGTAATTAAGTTCACGTTTGAGATTAGTTATTTTTCAGGCAAGCAACAGCGCAACTGTTTTTAATAAGGATCAGCCGATGTAAATAGGAAAGTGACAGGGCCGAGTAAGCTGGTAGCGGCAGAATGAGAAAATCGTTTTATAGGTCAATAGGTATGAAGTTTGCCCAATTTTTTCATCCTAGATTTTAGCGTTAGCCCAACAGTTCCACGCGGCAACTTATAATATTAAATGCTACATCTTGTATAAATTATGTTTCTTTCTATCATCCGAAAAACTTGCTCGATTAACACTTCAGTTTTAACCAACACCTTTCCGTATTCGGAAAGATTCTTTCTTACACACTGTTCAGCAACGTTAGTTGAAAAGGGCCGAATAGCTGGCTTGGCAATCCAGAATACCTATAGATAAAACGTATGGAACCTCATATAAGTCGGCAATATGCAGTCGTTTTATTCCTTTTTGATGTTATATTAAACAGGAGGTTGGAGTCTATATTCCCTGAACTAAAGACACAAGCAAAAAGGCTGTGATACTTTCAGTTTCACTGACCCAAAAAACCATAAAAGATAAAAGCCGACATATTTTCCTGAGCCAGAAGGTGAAACATTTCGTGAACGCAGCCATTAGGGCACCGCTGTAAGTTTGCAGCGGAACATGAAACTACCGGAAAAGTTGAGCTCCTGCTTCTGTCTATCATAAATATGGAAAACACAATCTGTTCTTACATAAAATGAGTGTAAAGGAATTTCAAGTACAGGATGTAAGAAAATGGTTGAGAAGAAGGCGAATGAACATGTTCAGCAGGTGCGAAACCACGTTTAAAAATTGCTTTATGTACTACTAACCATAACATCATTTCTTTGTTCTGACGGATTCTAACTGCTTTTACGTGGCATTGGATGTACTCAGAGCCAATTAGGAGAGGTCTCCAATGTCGTGCATAAACTGTTCAACAAATTCAGATTCCATGAACGCAAAAGCAGGTAAATCATTATGCGACATTCTTCTACTGCAAAGATAATGAAATCACATCCTTGATATCGAGTAAATTTAATGGCCGGTAGATGTTTCTGATTAATCTCCTTCAAAGGACATTTATGGCTAATTAAAAGAACACTCTCGTAAGATAAAGGCCATAAATTCGAAGTAATATAGCTGGAATTTCTGGAAACCGATTCCTGTAATATTCGGAAACCATATGGAATTAATAAAAAAGGCTGTATTCATTTAGTATATGGAAAAGGTAATTTTAGTTGCATCAAAAATTGTTTATGTGGTTGGTTTCGTACCTCTCCCTACACATCATTTTGCTTAAACCGTTTTGCGCATCCTCCTTACCCTAACTATCGGGACATTTATTTGATAAGGGAAGTGTTTATACAAACGCAAAATATCATATCTGCACGCGTATCTTAGTTTACTGGCATGCCTTTATAATCAAAACAGCAGAGCAAAATTCGCCCCGAGGCCTATTTTCGCTAGCAAACTACATTGCCTTGAGCCATCGGACATGGGATGAACAGTTTATCCAGCATATTATCCATTTATTTGCATGCGTGCCCGGATGTTTCATACTCTTGTTAACTGTTCAAATCCATAGCAGGTGGGTACCTCATCATTCCATTTCTGACATACAGCATCGTATTAGTTAAATGAACTGACCCCAGTGTCTGTATTTTTAAAGTAGCGAGATCAAATTACGAAGCATTCAGGAAGTCAAGGTAGGCGAACGAACGTTTTCGATTAATTCATCATCAGGCGTGTACAATAATATAAAGGGGGCAGAGTTGGCAAAAGTTTAAGCAACCAATCAGCGGTAAGTAAGGGGGAGAGAGGGAACCGTTGAGAGATCAAAGGGGCAGAGGGGAGGAGGGACGTGTCCTACAATTAGGTCATGTCAACCGGTCATCTCGTCGTCGCTTTGCGGCGTCTTGACACCAGTTGTCATTGTCCGCTCATCGTCTCGCGGCATGATAGGGGGTGTGCGGACGGATGTTGAGTTTGGTCTCGGACACAGGAGCCGTAGGGCCACTATGAATGCCTTCTGTGCACATAAGGTCGGGTTTGTGAGGCGTATGGCAAGGGCCTCTGCCGTCGCAAGTATCAGTTGACGCAGGAACTTGGAATGTTTTGCCTGA